GAGTTGTATGATTATGTGATATTGTGGGAGTTTCCAACCACGGTTACAAGGATTTTAAGCACGCTTCCAGCAGTGCTAGGAGTTCAATTCTGCGGCCACACGAAGCCTGCGGCTCCCCGCCCTCAGTCACGGCAATCAGTGCGGTCTGAGGGGCTTTCCCAATCGCAAGCCATCATGATAGAGCTTGGTCCTCACAACTGATGAAAAACATCAGTTGGGGTGGTGATTTACACTCGCTGGAACTAGAAGTGGAAGACAAATTTCCTCTACAAACAGTGAGTGTTCCACTTCCATGTTAGTTCCAGGGAGTGTATCTGCAATCCCAGGGACCGTGGAAGCGGACCCCATGTTGGCATTCTCATCTACCACACAGTGCTTTTCAGGGTCCATGTGGTCCTCTACAGTAGTTCCCTAGGGATTCAAGGACCTTCTCAGAAGGTACGACTGGACCCTCCAAACCTACATAACGGTGTCTTCAATCACCATCTGAGAAGGTACTTGGATCCCGAGGAGTTGAATTTGGGGGGTCTATGATGTAGGTTAGTACTCTGCCAGGTCCAAATGATACTGACATTGCAACCGGTACAGTACTCGAGCGGTCATTTGGCTGGCCATGGTCTTGTGAGCATTGTCACATGCTCAGGCGAGGAAGTCGTCTGGGTAGCGCTTTGCCTAGTTTCAGGAATTGGCGTGAACAAAGAACTGTAGAACCAACAACCCCAGAAACTCCATGTAATATTAATATGCCTACGCCACTCCAATCTAGGCAAGTATACCATGCATGGAGTATCTGGGAACAGCACATCCACACTAGCCACACCATGCCAAAGCAGCAGCTAAAGCGCTCTGCCATCGCCTTCTTTACCGGGGAACTCCGATGCGGACAGGTGAAACCCCTCTGAGACTCTGGGCCCGAAGCAGCAACACTGAGAAGAGAAATCGACCCTTTCGTTTGGACTCGGGTGGTTCCGGACTTCGCTCACGTCCTGATCTTCTCCCTCTCGTTCTTGGCCAACTCCACGAGGCTCTGGGCCAACATCTGACGCCCTTTCCTGGGCGGACGAACGTCACCGGCCCGTGTGGATCGATAAATCACGGGCTCTCAGGTTGAGGATCTGTGGGGCTGCTGCTGGTTCGGCCCTCCGTATACTGTATAGATATAATATACTATATCGCAATCTAGCCGGATGGAAGCAAATCTGGTCAAAATGCACCTCGAACCAGACTTGCAGGGTGTCGTGAATGCCAGTTTTTCTCCTCCCAGCGTCTTGACCACCATCTTCTGCTCATTCAGATCTTGCCTGAAGCAACTGCAGCATCAGCAAATCACGCTGGGGGAGTTTGATGGAGCTTCGGCTGGTGGCTTTGCCGAGCGGCGCCGTGCAAAAAGCTGAAAACAACATCTCCTTGTTCTTCTTCACACTCCGACTCACTCACATAGGTGCATGGAGCATGGCCACAGGGAAAGACCATGAAATCGGTGGTTTTCCACTCAGGGTCATCTTCTTGGCATCTCTTGGGGTTCTTGGACTCATCTTCTTGGCTCCGCACGATCGGTCCTCACGGTCCTGTGGCCGCCCTGGTTTGGACTCCGCTCCAGCTCGAAGATGGTGGCCAACAGCTTCTCCCAGGAGTCACTATCGACGGGGTGCTATCCGGGGTGCTATCCATGGAGGTTAGGTTAGGGGTGCCCAGCTACTCCACGGCCCCTGGAGGGGACGTTTCACACCACCCAACTCCATGTGACTCCTGGTCCAGAAACTTGTTCTTCTTAGTGGTTTGATGGACATGGATTGGTCATCCACAAAATGTGGTTGAGATGAAGCACCCTCCACTCAACAGCATTTGTGGAAGCAGCAGTGGTTTGCCAACATTGGTTGTGCAACATCGAATGATGTGTTCAACTGTAGTTCCTAGCTGGAGTCTCTCAAGCCTGTAAGTCAAGTGACTTCCCTTGCTTCGCAAGCCAGGGATGGACTGAGTCCATGCGCACGGGTACTTTTTTACCCCCAAGGGGCCCAAATCAAAGCACGAGAAGCTCTCGTCCCACCCAGGCACCGTGAAGAACTTGACCCAGGCCCCCCCCTCTTCCCCACGGCTCCACCGGCTTCGGAAGCGAACGGCGACGACGTCGGACATCCTGGACGTCGGCCTCCGCGTGATCCATGGGACTGGCATACCCAGTGCGTCCCAGGCAAACTTATAAGGAACCAGGGATTCGTTCGGTCCTATGGTTACTAGTCTTTGGAACCACTGGGACTCCCAGCTATATAGTCTATAGTGGTAACTGGATGCCCTGGGATAGATATGTAGACAAATACAATCATTTGGGATGGTTGATGGCAGGAGTTTCAGGGATCCACCCCAAGTTCTTGCCAACGTCCGCGGGCTCAGCTTGCGTCACGCATGGACAACGTCGCACGTCCGCGTCGGACAAAATCCAGAGATGTCTCACGGTCGACACGCCAAAGCCGAGCTGCTGAAGCCGCTTGATCTCCCTGTCCTTCGCAAAGGCGTCCTCTTCAGTCTCTGCTCCCCCTCAAAGACCGCCGGGGGGGAGACCCCGACCACCGGCTGATCGAAGCAACAAGTTGCTTCATGCCCGTCACACAAGCAACTTACACTCCTGAAAACTCACATGGAACCGGGGTCCTTCATGGCACCCTCTTTCAGGCTGTTTTCCTCTACAAACCTCGTTGTTTTCCGGTTCTATGTTCATCTTGCCAGGGTTTTTGGAGCTTGAAACGTCTGGAGCGCCAACATCGTCCCATCGACCCCGGCCGATGATGGGGTCGCGGGCGCCGAGTGCTGATAGCGCCAATGCGAATAACCTGATGCTGAAAAGCTGAGATAAACACAGTATGTGATGCCGGTGCACCCCGTCTATCCATCCCGACCTCCACCAACAAAACCCCTGCCCCACCCACAGAATACATTTCACACACCAACCTGGAATGTATTGTCCGATAGTTTTCCACCAACAAGTTCGCCGTCCGACGCCTCCCCCAGCACGATCGCCGGCGATGGCTTGCCGCTTGCGCGAGCGCGCCACGGTGGGGCTCAAGTTGGACTCGGGGTCCATGACCTGGGGCACTATCAGCAGAAACTGGAAAGCATGATGGACAACCTTCTAGAACCCGCTGGAGAAACTAATCATACGGTAACAAAAACGGCATACATATAACATCAAATCTAGCGCCATCACACACCAAAACGCCGTGGAACCAGCTTCTGAAACCACCCCCAAAGAACCTGCAGAAAGCGACCCCAAGCGACTCGCGACTCGCCCTCGCCGGTCCCAAGCGATCCCAAGCGACTGGCACCACCGGACGTTTCGAGCTCCGCCGTGGACCGCTCGCTCTCGGCGCGGGAGTGGAGGGCTCGGCGCTCTCGTCTTCGCCGCCTTCAGCGAACACGGCGCGGCGTCAAGGGGAGATGCATGCAAAACAACAATCAACTCTCACCCACACAGTAAAGCAGTGCGATAAGATAGCTGATAGCTTTATGTTCCAGCACATTCAAAGGGGTTTCCTGGCTGGTTTCGCCCCAGCCCACTACTTAGGGATCTCCATTGGACACCCCTTGAAGGTGCAGGGGCATTCATGTGTTGCTTTTTTTCGAGAAAAATGTACCATGAAAACTTGACATGTCGGAGATCATTCAACATATCACAAAATCAGTCATGACCTACGGGGTGGTTGATTGAAGGGGGTCTGGGGCGGCGTTTGTTCTTCCAAATCCCAATGGGGTCGTGTCTACCCTCTTGACCTGGTCAAGAGCAGGATGAGAAGATCTCAAGAGGTGTTCCCGATATCTTTCATCCAGCAGACTCGGCCAAGGGGGGTTTCACTGGCCATGGACACTATCAGGCGACTCCGACTTCAGGCACTCATGAGCCTGGACACTATCTGACAAGAAGTGGCCAAATCATGCCAAATCAGTCGCATGCATGAATCGTGCTGACTTGTCACATGGAAAAAAAGACATGTCCCCGTCGCAGGACAGGAAAGCGATCACCCAGGTGGGGAGCTTGGGGCATATCGATCAACATCTATCAATCAACTTGTCTTATTACTGCGGACTCGTGATATGTGTTTTTCAACCTCCCCAAGCCTGAAGAGGTTTTGCAATCCATGTCTGCTCTTTCTCATCAAAGGAGTCATGTTTCTGGGGATGGCTTGGAAACCCTACCTTCCCCGCCACGCCAAGCTGATTCCAAGATGCCTAAGCCGCCGCTCTCCTCGCGCTTGGACGCCGTGGGCGTGGGTGCTGTATCCGACTCGTCCGCCATGGCGGTGGCGGAGGCCGAGCTGGATGTGCTAAGGAAGCTCGGAGAAAAAAGAAACAGATCTCACCCCCAGGTCTGGGGATCTCACCCCCAGGTCTGGGGGATGGAGATGGATTCCACTTGGACTTCGAGCTTTCGGTGACCACAGGTCTGCGGGGGGATTGATCCATGAGGAAAAAATCGGTCGATAAATCTCCGGCTCCGGACAGCCAGCGCAAGCACGACATGTCGGGGACGCCGTCCTCTTGGCATTAGAAACAGCTGGGCCCAACAACCCTCAACTGACGAGCTGTTGGAGGGTACTGGTGAGATTTGCTTGGATCTTGGGAAACTCGATCCGTGACTCTATCCTTGACTCTTGTTTTAGAGGTTTTAGGACCCTAGGACCGCAGGACTCCCATCAAGTAGGGTACTGTCGCTCAAAGGGAGAAGAGTTGAAGAGAACTTGCCCATCGCTCAAGGGGTCTGTCATCCGCATGTCGGTCTGGCATGGTTCCATCAGGCGCATGAGCCTAAAGATCAGCAGGAAGCTGGAGTCCCCTCAAGCATTTCAATCTCATGATGTCCACCGTTTGGTGGTTGGAAAAGAGCTGGCCAAAGGCAGAATATGTCACTGACTTTCCTCAGTCAAACCTTCCCAACGCTGGATCCTCAGTCAAACCTTCCCAACGCTGGATGTCCAAAGCCAACCTGTTGATTTCAGCGGCCCTGCCTGAACCAGCGATATGAGAGCCTCACGCCGAAAGGGGACCGCGGCGGGCCATGACATCTTGAAGCATAAGACCAGCTACATTGAGGTCTAGGAAACAACTACCAGGGTCACAAATGGAGACCTGTTAGGGGACCACGGCGCCCAACAACCCTCAACTAACGTCCTCTGGGTACTGGTGTAAGCAAGAATCATTTACTGTTATGTATAGGTCCCCAAAGAGACATGTTTGAAGCTTGCCAATGACAAAACATCCTTGAACAAGATTTCACTGGTCCGGTCTATCTCTACATCTCTCTACCTTCAAACAGGCTGCCACGAAGATACCTAAGTCCCTAGGTCCCTAGGGATCCAAGTACCTTCTCAGGTACGGTGATTTCTCAAGAAGGTGATTGGAGACGTACGTGCCATACTTTCGGCTCCAGTCGTCTCGAACCCGGTCGCCGAGCCGGTGCCATGTTCCTCAGACTGTTCCGGTGACCGCTCCGCACACTCCCGAGGACCTCCGGCACCCGGATCGGGCGTGACTCACTCCGAGAGGCCCAGAATGGGCCCCAGGAAGTTGGCGAAGGAGAAGGCTGCCTCGCTCACGCCTTGCATCGTCCCCTGGGGCGAACGCAAGAGACCAGACGTGGAGTCACCAAAAGCAGCGACCGAATGTGGAGGCACCAGGAGAAGCAGCGGTTCGACCGAAGGTGCAGCTGTGGAGGTGAAAACTGCATCGATGGGGATGGAAGCTAGAGACCCTCTTTCACGGGCTCCCTGAGACGGGCGTATAGTATCATGTATCATGAGTCCTGAGCGGTTGGGGTGGGTGATTGTAGTATCCCAAACACTCCACAGAATCAATAGGTATATAGTATATTCATTGACCCCATGTATAGGTAATAAACCCCTAGACTTCCAAGACCATTTAAAAAATGGTTGACCTGGTTTTTGTAGTGTAACATCCTTAGTTGATTCGGTAAAGCCTATTAAAATAATGGTTGTTGGAAGCCTAGGGTAACTATTCCATACATGGAGTGTCTGGGTATCATATTGCGTTTTTAGAGACCGCACTGGGTGGTTCCTGAGGGGTATCCCCTCGGTGGTCAACCAACCCATACTTGGATTTGCCGAGGACATGAAGAAAAACAACATACCACATGAAGAAACCTCGGAACCCCCCCTATCCCCCACCTGGACCCTCCAAAGTTCGAAAATGGGACGTGACCCCATAAAAACAGGTACGACTGTACCCATTTTCCGAGGTACAAACTGGTCAACTCCAGGTACCTCCAAACCTCCAAACACCACATCGGTACATCTACCGCTGTGAACTACCCACCTCTCCCAGCCTGAAGTCGTTGTGGCAGGTGGCTCGTGTACAGCGCACGTGCGGGCGTGCGGATCAGCGGTGCTGGAGCAATGGCTAAGACCTCACCGAGAGCATCCCGAAGCGAGCTTCGGGGGTCGGACGCCGGGAGCAGTGGAGCGGAGTGGGAAGGTGGGGGGGGGGAGGTGACCGGAATCGATCATGATCTGGTACTTCAGCATCTAGTGGAGACTTCTTGTCCAGTTCAGCCTGCAGGAAAGCTTGGGTGGGTTTTGAGTCCCATCTAGCCGTGGATGTTCTGGGCACCCCGACTTCCTCCTGGATAGTGAGCGGTCCTTATGACATAGGGTGGTTCGTATGATGTGTTCATTAGGGATTGGGTATTCCATGGAGGCCCGGTGGATGATGGTTAAATGGCATCTTTGACCCTACTGGGACGCAGCTCACTTCTTAGATGAATTGAGCTGATTTCGATCATTTCATCCACTCCTTCTGCCAGGCCCTTGAACTTCATCTCTTCGCAGGGTAGGGTGAACGGTGAAGACTGTTGCAAACTGGTGGTTCAAGAGATGGGTTCACACTCCCCCCGTCCCCAACAAAGTGCCACAAGATCCACGTGTGCGAAAGTGTGCCACCTTAAAGCTTGCTGGAAGCCTTTCGCTCTTGACTCACACCAAACCATCTATGGGACGGGAATAGTTATACCTACATGCATGGGTCATGTTCATGGTTCTTCAAAGTGACCGAACTTGATAACCTGGTTGGTTCGGTCACGAACAAGCCTCCTGTTCGGGTCACGAAAAGGAACCTTCAAGTTCGGTCACGTACTGAAGAAGCTGGTTCATGGGTCAATGTCTGTACCCTAGACTTCCAAGACCATTAAAAAAATGGTTGACTTGGTTTTTGTAGTGTAACATCCTTAGTTGATTCGGTAAAGCCTATTAAATTAATGGTTGTTGGAAGCCTAGGGTGTATATAACTTTTCCAGTCCCATGCGTCTGGGCCAGTCAGCCAAACAGCTGAAAACCATGCTGAACGTCTACGCGCTAGTCATGCGGGCTGTAGTCACTGTAGTCTTGAGTAGCCCCACCATCCAGGGCAAGACAAAGGCCTCAGTGAACAAGCGGAGGCTGACGGAACTTGAGAGCACCAAGAAGCATCTGATACCCATAGGGTCCAGGTACCTCGAGGATGGTCTATCCGAGGTGAGTTCGTACTTCCAAAGAATGGTTGAACTTGGGGCCGAACGCAGGACATCTGATTCGGATGGTGGAGCCTTAGGGATAGGAATCCAACAAAAAGAGATCGCCTCAATGGGTAAACTGACAGGTGATCGGAACGCCGGACGGAGGTCTCCGGATGCAGTCGCCACACCCATGAAACAAACATCATCTTGTCAGACAGCCAACAGCTTCAAGGTCTACACTCCCTGAAATCATCCCTTAATTATGTGGAAAACTGGCAGTTTGGCCCCTGAAACAACTTCTGAAGTGACCCCTGAAATCTGAAAATCCCAAAGAGCTGGATTTCGCTCCACTAACCCGTGATTCTTTCAGGTGTAGTCATGGGCCGGTTTGCCAAATCAAACCGTTGACGGTGTCTTTAATCGTATGACAATCTCCAACGTATCCTGTGGGAACTGAAGTGGTGTAAAATGGTAATAAATCTGGTCAATTGGTTCTGCATTTGCTGCACATCCTCTTGGGGGAAGTCGGTCCCAAAATAGAGCTCTAATTCAGTGACATGAAGCGGCCTCCAGTTCGAATCAGTTAGAAGAAAGCCCCCTTGATTGGGTGATGGAACAGGGAATTCCTGGTTACACGCACGGAAGCGCAAAGCTGCGCGTGATGGAAGACACTGGCACGAGCTAGGATGTACAAGGTACAAAGCACAGTAACTAGTAGGGGTTGACGGTGTTGACCATCTCATTCAAACTCGGCAAATGCCGTCAGGAAACCAAATTTCAAATTTGCATCTTTGCGGCCATCTACGGCCAGTGCATGCTTGTTGAGCCAAGTCTCAACACAGGAACCACCTGTCAAAAGAAACAGAATGTGTGGCGGATTTTGAGGTCTGTGTGCCACAAATTGACTGTTCGGGGGTTCAACTCACTTGAAGAATCTGTGTCAGTGGGTTCAATCTTGCCAAGTCAAGGTTGAGCATGTTTGAACATAAACATGATTGAAACCACCACCCCACCACACCACCCAAGCACATCACTCTGAGCGCCAGCGATGTTTTGATCCCCCCATAAACATCATAAACGCTTGGCCAGCCGCTGAGGGATCCCAACAGAACGCTTCAAGAATCCACTTACAATCTGAAAATTTTGGGTGTTGATTTTGGACCTATCCTATCACCAGCGCCCAGTGAATGATGATATAGATGCCGCAACATCTCGAAACTAGTGATTTGCTTGTGCACTGACGGTTGCAGGCAATAGGACAAAAACAAGTGTTACTGATTACCATCCACCTATCTTAAATGCTGCGACTCGCAAGGAATGAGGGTGGCTGGATCCGGTCAGCCAGTAAGTCAGCCAAACAAGTAGCTTTCTGAAACCGCTCACATGTGACCAACAAACGGTGGATCAATCAGCGGAGCAAGTGAGGGTTCCGCCACGCAAGCATAGATCGTCTCCCCTGTCCCCGAGAAGAAAACAACACCGCCCAAACGCTCCGTTCACAGCCCTCGGTCCCTCAAAACCGGATTTGAGACCCCAGACCCCTCCAAAGGATTCGGGTCCAGGGTCACGTCTGGGCGGTCGATCAACAGAACACCTGCCACGCTGCGGACATGGAAAGCCTCACACGTGTCCTGCGCATGGAAAGCCGTTCTGCGCACGCGGAACCTGCGCATGCGGGCCACCAGCGCTCGCCTGGGCGCCAACTCACTTCTGACCAAGCTCCTGGGCCGGACGTGGAGGATGGTCCGACGGGCCTTCCATGAGTGCACTGGGATCTGACCCGGATCTAAAGACATGCTGTTGGTCAAAGAGGGAGACCGGACACCTCCCAGGTCGAAGCCCCTGGAAGAAGGACAAATATAGACCTCTTACATCCTGTTACCCATTGGATCCCATTGGGGCGATCGGGGATCTCGCAAACAGTAATTATTTCATCAAGGAGCTTCGAGTTGCTTTTCTTGTATAAGGCAATCTGCCCCCAGCTTGAGGCCTCTCCTCCAAGCGCGATGGCAGCCACACCCCCACACCTCAGCGACAAACCAAATCATTACCAAATGCCCAGCGCTTGTACTTCCAGAGAATGGTCGTTGCCTGGTGCCTTGCAGGACGTCCGATTCGGATGGTCCCTGGGCCGGATGCATCTGGCTGTGTCAAGACATGGAATTAGGCAAGTGCTTGGCCAATTCAGTCCAGGCCAGCCATTCGTCTGACCAACCTGAGCAAGAGACATAAGGCTCCGTCGGCTGAATCGGCCGCCCATGGCCTCATGTAGCAGCGAACAGCGGTGCTGCGTCCGTCGCCGCTGCGAGAGCCAAGTGGTCGGTGAAGGTTCTTCAGGGATCTTCAGGGGTCCCAGGTAGAAAATTGGGACACGAAGTGATGGAGGCCCAAGGTCGGCATGGACACCCCGAATCACACTCTAACTGACTCTGACTTGACCCACCTTCTTGGTGGTTTTTGGCAGGGCCCCTGGTGCTATCTGGCGCTTGGCAGCTGAAGACTTGAGAGAGGAGGGGGTGAACGAAAGGTAGCAGGCAATCACAAGTAACCCTGGTAGAAGTCCACGACGGCGTGAACCGGCGCAGGGGGGATTTGATCCAGGGGGGGGGGGCCCCCCCCCCCCGACGAACAGAATCAACTCTTACAGGACCAAATTCAATGCACAATCCCAACTCCTGATTGTAATACATTTTTGCTAAAGCAAGGAGAACTCAGGTAGCTCAAGCTACCTTTCGTGATCAGTCATTTGGACTTGGATCGTAAGAAGGTGTGAACTTTGAGGTGAAACCACATCATCCGTGCATCAGCATGAGTTCTTACTTCAAAAGCCCATGAAAGGTGGCTCCTTTTTTGGGATGCCAAGCACCGTATCGGATTATCGATCATGAAAAGCTTCGTCTATCAGCAGCCCGTCAATACGTACAGTATATACCCTGAGAGTCAAAGACTATACAAAGAATGGTCTTTAGGTGACCCGAAAAGGAATATCCTTTACTTCAGCCGGTCAAAATATCGAAAATATAGTCTTTGGGCTTCTATAGGGTATAGACTGTAAGAATTGTGCACATAGCCCGGCTGGTAGTTGGGCCAAGTGCCAATCTCATCATGTCTCCCTCAAGTTTTTATCTGCGACCTTTCAGAAGCAGTTGCCTTCGAATGGAGAACAGGTATTCGGTACTTTGTCCTGACCTTCCACCTTTCAAAGAAGTGTTTCTTCTCGTTCTGACGGTCTAGCATTGCAGGGGGTCCAATGAGGACGTTCAGGGTTGGGATAATTTTCGGGTGGTTGGAGCCGGATCCACTGCCACCTTCGAAGGTAAGACCAAACCCTCCAAGTACACAGAATCGAAAAGAATGACCTTCTCAGAGGGTGTGTGGATCGCGACAAAGGCTCCCAATTCCATGAAACTGCTTCGTTTTTGACCCCTTCGAGTCCTTCACCTCAGCGCAGAAAACAGCCTCCAGCTCGCTCTTCGGTCGAAAACGAACCATGGGCGTCGAGGAGCTCCAGTCAAGGCGAAGAGGCCGATGACCATCCTGGGATCGAAGGAGCTCCGTTGCGCGGAGGGCGAAGGGGTCTGGCTGTATGACTCACACTCTGCTTTTTGTGATGTAAACGGTTGAATCTTCCACCCCACCCCCAAGTGAAGGGGTTTTCAACTGGGGGAGCTTTATGAATCAACATTTTACACTTATTTGGTCAGTGTTCTGATGGCGTCTAGTTTAGCAAGTGCCTTTTGTGATACTTTTTGCCACACTACCCAGACCATACGTGCCATACCGCCGTGGTCCAACTACTGCAAGTAGGGTCCGTGGTGGAACTTTGCGAAAAACTCGCGCCGCCGCAAGAACGCACGACTCCATTGGGAAACACCTGACTTTTCCGCGTTGGACATGGTTCAGACTTTACTGAGCACCGGCATGATGAGGGACATGGGAGGATACTCCTTAAGTTCCATTCAAGGGGAGTATCCTCTACACCTACCCGCTAGACCTCCAGGTCGTACCTCCGAAGATCGGGACTGACCCCTGCACGCCCCCAGTCCGATCGAACCGAAACAGAGGTGGGGCAGGAGCACTAGGGCCTTCAGAACGCACACGAGCTATCTGGGACTGGCAAAGTAACTTGTAAAACGCTCTTGACATACACTGCCTGGAATCATTCTGGAAGTGGTAAAGATGTTTGATTGGATGACCATGTTCCTCATTTTCATCTAGAATCAGGTGTCCATGGTTTTCCACTTCCATGATGATTCCGGGGAGTGTATATTCATGATGGATGGGTGCCCTGTGGTGCCTGGGCCTTCCAAGTCTTCCCCCCTTTTTCGCTGCCAAAGCCACAAAGAGACCACGCCAAACAGCACCGACGTGGCCACTGGAGGTAGTCCAAACTGCGGCACGGCGGAGACCGTGCCGAGCTGGCGGAAGCTCGAAGCTTCCGCAGCTCAGCTCCCCGCAAGGAAACCAAAGACGTGAAACGAAAAAAACATGGAAAGAAAAACACGTGGAACGAACGAGTCAGAGGTCAACAGGAACTCCTTAGGTGGAACCGGAGGAATGGGGGAAAGCCACGAACTGCGACGTTTCGGAAGGGAAGCGGCCTCAGTGGTGAGCACGATGGGAGGGACCACTTCCAAGATGGCCAAGAGCAAGGCGGTCACGACCTGCCAAAACGGCCCCTGCGGTAAGGCCCCCCACAAACCGAGCAAAACACATGGGTTTGCCCGTCCTAGCAAAACACATGGGTATTGTATCATGAACACCTCTATTTGTTCATGGGAAACTGAGGCCCACTATGGCCCACTGGTATCAGAATACTCTCCGTGCGACTCGATGAAGCTGATGAAGTTCTTTGGACTGACAGGTGCTCCTTCTAGTGTGTTCCATACCCTACAGCTCCGGTCCAGTGACTCCTAAGTGCAGAAACGCCTGGAAGACCAAGCTTAACTGAGTGCGGAACCCCCTCCGAAAAGTAGATGCACTGAAAACTAACATAGACCCTGAAAACCACTGGTTTGTAGAGGAAAACAGTCTTTGAGGGTCCATGTTAGTTTTCGGGAGTGTAAAACTTATCCACTGAACTGGCTATGTCCAGGTCGAGTCTCCAAATGTTGATGCCGATACATATTTAAATTTCTAGATTGCGCTTCATGAGGATTTGGCCCGACCAACGCGCGCATGTCTTTTTTTCTGGTCGCATTGAAAAATCAAAACAGGGATTGAAGGCTCACGAGATTCACGCGAGCCTCAGACGATGGCGGAGATTTCTGCGCTTCTAGGTGTATAACACAAATTTGACGAGGTGCAAGGATTTGTTCCTACCCGCAACCCATTGAAGTGAGGATGGTTGCAGGACGGAATGTCATTGGTGGGCATGTTTTGGCCGTCATGCTTCTTCATCTACAACCTTCCTCAGTGGAAACCAATCCCCCCAAAACAGCTGAATGGCAGGTTCTTAGGCTTAACACTTTTCCTGGATGAGGTATTTATACAACATTATACATAGTCAACTTCTTCTTTCCGTCTCCGGACCCCAAGTTCTCGTTCGAAGAAGAGAGTCCTCCATGGTCATCCCCCGCCTCCTTTCGAAAACCCAGTCCCGCGGCCCCGCGGACCCTACAATGGCATTGGGAATAGCTATAGTCGGAATAGTTCATCAACTCAACATGAGGCTATCTCCGGGTCATCGTCGATGTTCATGGTCAATGGTCAATGAATGTCTGGAAACTCCTCCAGTCTCATATTCATGGTCTGGGTGTGTCTGGGTTAGGTACTGCTTCTATGACTTCACCTCCATGAGCTTCAGACCACAAGGGGGACTCCCCCGACCGGTCTGCCTCGGTCGGCGTGTCAGAAGGTCCCGACCGGTCAGGAACCTCCAGAGGTTGAAGAACCCGAACGTTCGACTATCCCATACCCAAACGCTCCATGGGACTGCCAGGACGGACTACCATAGGACTACGGCCAGGGGTGGTGACCAGAGGGGTCTTTCTGGGGCGGCAGTCCTATGGCAGTCCCATGGAGCGTCTGGGATATGTACCTCAGTAAGGTCCAGTAAGGTGCTATTTAGGGTCACTTAACATCTGATTCGAACGGATCCTGGTCATACCACGAGCACTCCGCCAGACGGCCCGCATGCGCGCGCCGTTCCCGGCCAGCGCTTCGCTTCGCATCCGCGGGCCGGTGAGGCAGTTGCGTTGGAAGTAGAGTGGGTTGAGAGGACCAATGGCACAATGCCCAAGTTCCGTGGCTTACACTCCCGAGTCAACTCACATGTCGACCCTGACGTCCTGGCCCCCTGGAAGATTGTTTTCCTCTACCAACCAGTGGTTTTCAGGGTCCATGTTAGTCTTCCAGGATGTTTGTGGACCCTCATCTGTCTAGGACGTCTTGGGGGAAACGTACCAACCTCTGATACCACTGTAGATGGCAGGAATGGGTGTATGCACTCGTGGAAATCATCGTGGTGCATGTGGGTGAAGTCAAGCCAAACGGTCCGCACCAAACTACTCCCCAAAAAAGCGGTTTTCGCTCTGTTGCTCAGGTGGTCTTCACATGTCTTCACTGCCTGAAACTCAGGTGGCCTTGGCCCCGCCCAAAAGCAAGTTCCAAGGAGCACAGTCAGTCGACGTCAAATCCTCGTGGCAGATTTGCACGTCTCAAACCAGTGCCCGGCACACACGCAAGAGAGAGGCCTCAGTTGGACCGCGAAAGGCCCTCAGCTGCACCGAAGGCGTTCAATCGCTCTGGGAGTCGGGGGGTGCTTGTTCGGACTCAGAAGTCTCAGAGGTTGGACCCAAGGGACCCCAAACAAGACTATGCTCCGGGTCCCAGATGTCAGATCTTTCAGGTCATGTTCCACCTCTCTAAAACGGAAACTCTTCGAAGCCGGTGGTGAGCGTGTCAACCTAGAGGTCCAGGACATGACCCAGTCTTCAGGCCCTGAAAACCTCCTTGACACGTGCTTTTTGGCCCTGAAAACCTCCAAAATCGGAGCTCTACCATCCACCCTGACCATCCTGACCAGTCGAGACAAAGTCCTCTCCGACCCACCTGCTGGGCCGACCCAGCCTTCACCTGCCCAGCTTCCGACGCGACTCAGGGGGACCCGACTGCGTCACCACGAGGGGACCGGTCGTCATCATCCTCCGACCCATAGAAATCCATTCCCTACAAGTCAGTTGGACCTCATTGTACTGGAGATGGTCATACAGAACCAATACATATGGAAGTAAAAAACCAGGTTTTACTGGGTCAAACTGGACTTGTAGGGATTCATTCCAGGCACCACTTGACCTGCACCTCTGGACATGACCTGAACAAGCAAGCAAACAGGTGCTTAAGATGGTACTTGTATATTCTATACCCATGAAATGCGAGGTACGAACTGGTCGACTCCAGGTATATAAATTCTTTCATCATCTTCATGGCATACCACAGAAGCACCGGCAGCATGAACATTGAGAGGTTTTGCAGCCACCAACCTGTTGTAGGCTGATGAGAAAATCCATCATGCAAACAAATTCTCCTTGTTGATGCCTTGATGTACACTTTTTGAATATGCATTTTCTTGAATCCTCGGGTGCGGTGCTCCTTCCTCATTCTGCCCCCGCTCTCCGGCACGCGAAGCCCACCCCTTCGAGGCCCAAGGCACCAGGAGCCCGCTGGCGGCGAACTCTGCGCCGGCGCCCGGGCCGCGGAACACCAAAGGCGTCGATTCCGGGAAGCGCTGGGACACCACGCGGACCTGAGTCGCGGAGGCTTTCGTGCGCGGCGGTCAGGCTGGGGGGTGGGCCGGTCGCCGCTTGTTTGGGCCATGGTGAAGGGGCGCATGGTCTTGATCGACCTGACTGGACTCTGAAAACACCCCATTCGTGTCGCCGAGCCATCGTGCCATGAGGTCGATGAGGGCGTGGATTTGTGGTATTGGAGGATCAAAGAATGTGCCATCATCCCATCAGTCATGTATGGATTAGGTGACTTCAATTCCAGGCATGACGTCTGCCAAAAGCCCTGGTTTCACTGACATGGGTCCACAGGCCCCGTCGAGGATCGTATGAAATCCTACCTTTTGCACCCTTGAAATCAATTGAATATTGACCTACCCCAGACACTCCATGTATGCCATATATGCCTATACATTGGGGTGGTTTGAGGGGTCAATGTATGTAAATATGCCATACATGGAGTGTCTGGGTACATCCGACATTTGCCATCCCAACATCCAAGTTACATTCAAGTAACATCTCCTCCTTAATTCATTCAAGGATCATAATGATTGACGGCTGTCACATCCCAAACACTGCATGCCTGGGACATGTACTGCCCCAGGAAGATGCCTTTTTCAATCAACCACCCTCAAACAGGTCGTCTCTCTCTCTCTCTCTCCCTCTATCCTATCTCCGGACTCTTGGAAGATTGGCCGATCAGTTGGGGTTTGAGGCTCGAGGTCTTCAGTGTCAAGAGTGCTTGGAGCGGACTTCTTTGAAGGGTCCGCACCCTGTGCCGGTACCTATGGACAGGGTGAACATTGCATACTATGCCAGGCTCGGTCGTTGAAGATCTTGGATCTGCTGATTACGGAAGCCGGACAACAGAATGGATGAAAACGTCTTCCCGTACCGGTACGGGGGACTCCTCCAGTTCGGCACCATCCAAAAATCACATCAAATCACCTGATCCTCCAAAAAAAACTAAACCCTAAAGGGCCTAAACCCCTGTAAAACCCCTAAACCCTCCAAACAAACTCATTATAGGCCCTTCTTGTGGCTGGTGTTCTGCACCTCTTCCGCCGGAGGTCGCAGCCGGGCCGCTGCGAAGTCGGCGTCGTTGAGCGCGAAGGGAGGGCCCTTCGCGCTGAAGCGATGAATGCCGGCAGAGACCTGCGACGTGTGAACGAACGTGGGTCTCGTTCCGCGCCAAAAGCTGAAGTTGATGCGGGTCTTGAAGTGGGCAGGCTGCTTGTTTTAGTTTTGATTGGGGGAATATGGTGTTTTGTTGGCCAAGCATGTACATGCCTTAGGTCACTTGCGGGTCCTTCGATTTAAGGGCTTTTGGTGATTGAAGTGGTCCTAGCAAAGCCCTCTAGATCCTCTTATAGCCTAGTACACCTCATGGAGGGCCCACGACCTGTCAAGCCGACGGTCCAGTGAAACGGCCCACGTCCAGGAGCCCCACATGATATGCACCAAGATGTTGGCGGGTGCCATGTCAGTCTTTCACCAAGGGCGTGAAGTTGAGAGACAGTAGTCGACAGTCGACAGGTGTATCATCTGAAAGAATACCAGTGTAATGTACGAATGCCGCATAATCTCATGCCACTAGTGGCTTGCTTCTCTCTCGCTCTCTCTCTCCATTTCTGTCTCTAGGACTTCCATCTCATCTCCTCAACGACTCACCACCCAAACTTGCACCAACCGCCTTCGCCGCCCGGACCAACCACTCGCAGCCTTGCCCTTCTGCACATCGATTTCGCCCACATAGTACAGGAGCTCTCCCTTCTCCCGGGCTTCTCGGAACCTCGTCTTCCCGCGCGACCGACCGCGCGACCGACATGAAAGCACGAAAGGACTCGCGAAAGGACGAAAGGACCATCTGCTTCCGGAAGTGGTTGGTCAAAGGGAAAGCAATGACACAGCCAAGGGGAAAGTACAAACAAATATAT